CTGAATGAATGATGCTAAAAATTCAGCTTTGAAATAACAGAAATAAATTACATTTTAAAATATATTCAAATAGAAAGCAGTTATTTTAAATAGTAAAAATATTTCACAATATTACTGCTTTTGCTGTATTTTGGATCAAATAAATGCACGCTTGGTGAGCAGAAGAGGATTCTTTAAAAACATAAAAAATCTTACTGTTCGAAAACCTTTGACTGGTCGTGTATTTCAATCGTTCTAATATGCTAATTTGGTACTTGAAACAAAGAAAATATTGCTTAATATTTTTGTGCAAACCATGATACTTTTTCAGGATTCTATGATGATTAGAAAGTTTAAAAGAACAGAAAATTGACTTTTTTGTGACAATAGAAAAGTTTTTACTGTCACTTGCGCGAGTAAACTGTTCTCTCATTGGTCAAAGTTCCACGGTTTAATTTCCGGGATTCCACCGCTGTCACCCGTCAGGATGGGAACAACAACAGCCGTTCTAATATGCTAATTTGGTACTTGAAACAAAGAAAATATTGCTTAATATTTTTGTGCAAACCATGATACTTTTTCAGGATTCTATGATGATTAGAAAGTTTAAAAGAACAGAAAATTGACTTTTTTGTGACAATAGAAAAGTTTTTAAGAAATTCTACCATTGACTTACATTGATGTGTAGCATCAAATAAATATAGCAATATTGTTAAATGTGGCTACATTTCTTACTTCTTGTTTGCATATTAAATTGTTTGCTTGTAAACTCTACCCAAACCTTTTAGATTTGCAGTCTAAGGGTGCTTTCACACCTGTAGATCGATTGCTTTGTTCCGATCATAACAAAAATAAACACTGGTATTCGGTATGAACCGGTATACCGCCCAGCACTACCTTGCGGGTTTATTGTTGTTGTTTTTTTTGTAGCTGTCTTTATATTAATTTATCATTTTATCATTTTGAAGTATTAGCAAAACAACAAAGCTAATGCTTTTCACGGAACTTATGTAATTACCCATCATACATTGTGATATAGCTTGGTTCGTTGGTCCGTTGGATCGGATTGCTTTCTCACTACAAACAAACCGCTCCAGAGTTCGTTTTCAATCGAGCCGAGACCACCTCGTTCAGGCGATCTCGGACCGATTGTTTTGGCGCGGATCCGAGCGCGATTGCCGTGTTCACATATGCCCAAACGAACCGAGCTAAGGGGGGAAACGCGCCAGGTTCCGAAACAACGGGCCAGGTGTGAAAGCACCCTTAGACTTCAATTCTAAGAATTATAACGATTCTCAAAACTTTATAGTTATACTAATTATCGTCTTTGGTGTGAATGGGGGGTTAACTCTTCATACATGTGGGTCTCCATTTGGGCTGCAAATTTGCAAGTTTAAGGTTCCCCTTCTAAACAATCTTTAAATGGTTGCAGGAGCTTCTTCATTTTCGTTATTTGTCAGAAATGAGCCTGTTGTGGTTCATTTCTCAGTTCCACTCTTGACTGAAGTGTTGGTGGTCACATGACCTCAAATGTCAACCGGCTGTTCCCTGATCTCCTTCCCTCTACAATAGCACACTGTGGCTGTTCCTTTATTAGCTGCCCTCCCTCCTCCGCAGCCCGGCAACAGGCTCTTCCTTTATTAGCGCCGCCCTCCCTCTACTTCTTTGCACAAACAGGCTATTGCTTTATTTGCGCTGCTCTCCCTCTAGACTCAAACCACAGTTCCTGTATTTGTGTCAGCCACCCAGTTCAGCAGAGCAAACAAGCTGTTCCTTTCTTTGACTCATTCTCTTTGCGTCTCTCTCGCTCGCTCAAACAAACAGGCAGCTCGTCCCCATATAACCGAATAAAACAGGCCTGTCTTTTATTTACATCCCCCACTCTTAGGTGATAGACCAACTGGCTGTTCTGCAATGGAGGTCCTGCCCCCTCTGTTGCAGATTTCAGATGGCTGATTTGTCTTTCTTTTAAAGAGTCCGTGTGATAAGTATCTTTTGAATCATGTCTCATTTTCAAGTAATCAATCACGAGTCTGCTAGCAAGCTTGTGTACATTGGGACTCATGCCGCACGTGGAGCAAAACAAGGGGCCCGGGGTGGCAGAAACTCAGATAAACAGCTGAAGTCTACTTGTCTCTCATAAAATCAGGGTAAATGTGTCACCACTGGGGTTTATATATATATATACATCTACAGTATGGTAAAAACCTCTTTAAAGGTTGTCATAACTACAGATCCTGTATGACGATGTGACATGTGAACTTGCACAGAGCTTGATGTTCCATCTGCTTATCTTTGTGTCACTTGCAGTCCTTTTCTCTCTCTCGCTATCTGTCCTCCTTTCCACTTCTCTGTTTCAAGAAGTCCTCCGATTCTTTCTTCCTTCGTCTCATTCAGCCTGTTTTCATGGTGCAATTCTTCCTTAAAGAGGAGTTGAATAGCTCTCCTCTCACCATTGCTATGTTGCCATGGAAACAAAGAGATGAAATAGACACATGTTTTTTTTTTTTGTTACCAGGGAGATCCAGATGGAAAACGATGTGGAGAAAAACATCAGTGGGTTCAGGTGGCGTCTCTAGAACTGACAAACTGATCTTGGAGAGCTCCCGTTAGCGCCGCACCTACTAAAGTGTGAGGAACCACAGTAAACGCACAGATTTCTCAGCTTCTCATATCGATGTATAAAGAGCTGAGTGGCAAATATAAGACAGATATGTATAATAGTGACAGACAGCTAAATCAATATTGGGCCATGTGAGATGCTCGTATCAGCCAATAACTGCTCCTAATGGCCGATTAAAAATGTTGTAGTAAATTCTCCCTTATATCAGATCCAAGATCTACCAATATTGTTGTCAATGTATAATATAAAATTTCTGTTTTCAAAAATTACTGAATATAAATGAAGTATTTATGAAGTCAATATTTAATATATTTTTTAAAATATTTCATCTCTAGGTCTTAAATTAAACTTCATTAGTCTATAATTGCATATATTTTGGACATGCGTCAATTCTCTCTCTAGTTATTAATATCATTTTCAGACAGTTAAAAACCCATAATGGTTGACCACTAATGTATATTTAAGCAATACAGTATGAGATGTCATGCTTTTTTATGACTACAATTGCGGCAAAATGTGTTGCTAGGCACAATGCACAGTCTGCATTATGGATTTTAGCAGGCAGGACCAGAACTGTCCGTTTTATATTATTCTTATTTTATTTTTATTAATAAATGTATATTATTTTAATCATAGCAAATGAGAAATTCTGCAGAAATTAACATTTTATACATTTTAATACTTATTTTACACAATATTTAAAAAAAAAATACACTACTATTTGAAGATTTGAGGTCAGGAAGATTTTGTAATGTTTTTGAAGTCTTTTATGCTTACCAAGGTTGCATTTTTATGACCAACAACAGAGTAAAAACTCTAATACTGTAAAATATTATTACAATTTAAAATAACTCTTTTCTATTTTAATAGATTTTAAAATGTAATTTATTACCGT